ATAAATAAGGCCGAGCCGCCCACAAATCAGTGGAGACTTATAGCCGCCAATAGCTGACGGTTTTATATTGGCCTCCGGTGAATGGATTGGCTCGGCCCATCCTATTGGCTCAGGTAAACGTTGCGTCAGTCTGTCCATTAGTTCTCATCTCCATCTTCATTGTTCTCTTCTCTCCATTATTTGTATTACCAACTTAATTCTACTACTGCTATGAAGTAATATAATGATGTTTTAGTCTCATGGTAACTAAGATTAGTTGGGGGTCATTCCATACCAAATCATCCAGCTTGAATTTAATTTAACAACATCCATCACAGATTTTAATGGAAATTTATATATATATATATATATATATATATATATATATATATATATATATATATATATATATATATATACATATACATACTTGTCCCACTACAACCCACGAAGTCTTTTTTTCGATGTTATGTAAGGACACTACTGTTTCTTGGTCAATACTTGTGGCAAGGACGTGATTTTTTATTATTATTATTTTTATTGGATTACCCCCTTCACACATGTAAGGTAGGTCTGAAATACGGAGAGGAGAGGGTTTGTTCTAAAGGTACAACCAAACCTATTCTAACCAGAGTGGGAGGGTCGAGTTTCATTCCGTGGGTCCGCCACGAAATAAAAGTCAATGACTCCCAGACCTGATTCGAACCGGCGTCGTTAGGCACGATGATGCTAAATCGGCCAAGGCTCTAACACACTCGACCATCACGACCTCCAAAAATTCACCTCTCCGGCGGGGAATCGAACCCGGTCTACCGCGTGCTAGGCAGGGATACTTACTACTATACTACCGAAGAAAAATCATCGGCCGGATTCGAAACCTCGAGCTTAGCGGCCCAGTGCATAACTTACTGAACTACTCCGCTCCTCACGAATGTGGTGGAATACTAGGATCGATCTACGGTTGACGAAAGAGATAAAATAATTTATCTGTCATAAGCAGGACTAGAACCTGAGACTTTGAGCTACTCAGTGCCCTACCACTGAGCTACTTCACTCTCCATTTATAAATATATATTAAGTGAATATAAAAATAAATAAAGTATCGAATTTTAATCAATTATAACGAGTACTTTCAGAATTATGGAATTAGATTTGTAAGATTTATTTTCAAATTATTTTAGATTTCTACTGTTGGAATTAATAAATTTTTCACTCTCTAATTTTTAAAATACCAACTTTGTCTTTGTTGGACCGCTTTTGCAACACGCAGAACAGTTATAAATCTCTTTAAATTCATACGTTTTTTTAATAATATCCATAATTGATTATAATAATATAATCTGTTCTAGAGTATTTGCAGAGAGGGTATTGGATTTCAGCTGCACACCATTGCTTTTTATGCGTGTCTCACATCTTTTAAAGAATATTAATTTTCATATTTAAGAATTATTTTACCCATGATAAAAAAATGATAGCATATAGTATCATTGGATTTTGCATCAAATCGAGTTATTTAAAACAAACTTAATTACCTTAATCGCCCAGAATAATTGCAAATTCCATTGAATTTATTTTTAAAATTTATATTAATTGACACGAATGGAATAAGTACTTTACTAATGAGATCAGATCCAACTCGACATTCCCTAGTTAACTCGAGGAGTATTGTCCTAACCCAACACAGATCACACATTACACTTGTGGAACCGACCCTGCATCCAGTCAACTAAATAATTAGTTATGATTGGACAGGGCGGCCTACACAATAGGCAGTGTATAAACAGTAGCAGGTGACAAAGGCAAACACATGATGCCATATTGGCGAGACCCATTGCTACCAACTGTTGGAGAACTGTTTACATATGTTTAATATTGAAGGAGGGGGGCGCCCTGACCAGCAGATGGAAGGGTTGCAATAGCTAACAGCTAATCGAAGGACAATGAGCACTTGATGGATGGTCATCTCCTTCATATCGAGTCCTCTGTGTCATATCCTAAAGGGGGGAGCCTGTATTATAGCATAATAGAATTATAGGGGGCGATTGATATCACACCCCTGTCATAACACGGGTCATCACCATTAGCTCTTCCAAATCTGTTCCTCCTCAACTTAGAGCGAAGAATAGCCTTCATTTCCATTTCAATTTTATTGGGATATAATGCCCAATTGATTTTTTATTATAAATTAGATAAGATTAATTTTTTTTTTCTGTTGGCATAACAGCCTTGAATATCTTTTGTAGCTTTAACAAGTCTAATCTTGGACTATTTATTATCAACTTCAATATACACTCCTCTTCTTTCCCTAGAACGCTCCAGGCGAAACTTCCATTGTCTGGACCAGTGCTGGAAGACTCCCTTTGGCAGCTCTTTTAGGAATCAAATTCTGTTCCTTTGAATACAGATTGACGAATTTAGTTGTTCACTTATGATCCTGAAACGAAGTGTCAATCCAAGCACTGAAAGAGTTCAACCTCACCTAGAGCCCAAAAATCTCGAATGAGCGAATAAAAATTCAATGCAACGATGATTGTTTCATCAACATCCATGAGGTTGTGCCTCTTCACTGGATTTCTGAAGGTGAAACTACTAATCAACATTATTACATTCATTTTTTTGCAAAACGCGTCCTGAGGGAGCTAACAGAAGAACATTGTAGGAACACAAGAGGGACATTATATTGAAGTTAATAATAAGTCAATATGTACGAAATCAAAATAAAATGTTTTACACCATCAGTTTCGTTACTTAAAAACCCCAATATTTTGTATAAGCAGGTACATGACTAACAAAACTCTTCGTAGTTACCTCCTACCAACCTACCAACAGTTGACCAACCATAACAAATCTTTATCTACGATTTTCACATATTCAAATCAAGGGTATATTCAACAGTTTATCTCTTGGACTATTTTTTCCAGTTATCTGCACGCATTTGATCTATCATCTTCATTTTGGCTTTCCACGTAGTCTTCTGCCTACTATCGAGGAATTGATTGCTACATAGAGGCCTCCAGATAGATAGCTCCGAGCTACATGCCCTGCCCATTTTAACCACCGTGCCTTCATGTCATGAGATATTGATTAACCAGTTTCTGTAAGCATCTCTTTATAGCTCTTTCTTCTCCATGGCTTAGTAATCTGATTCCAGATCGCTCCGGTAATCGTGCGGAGTATTTTTCTCTTAAATTGTTCAATAAATTTTTCTATTGCGCTGGCTAGTGTCCAGGTCTCACAACCTGAGGCAGTTTAGAACTGTCTTTCCTGTAGCATTGTACACCCTTAATTTCAGCTTTCTTGAGAGATTTTTCTGGATTTCAATATCTCTGAAAGGATCTGTTTGCGCTTGTTATAGGCTGGTCTATTTTCGACCGTTGGTCATTCGGTTATTATGTAGCCGAAATATTTGAATTTTCCTAATCTCCAGAATGATTACCCTTTACCCGCTGATCCTGATTGGATGGAATTTTCGACTTGTTACCATATACTTTGTCATTATTTACTTTTGTTTCATATATTATTAATAAGCACCCGTATCAAAAATAAGCTCGTTACCCATTCTTAATACGCAAATAACTCATTCATATTTAAGGTTACTCGAGTAGCAACAAGGGGTTATAGATTTTAAAGACCAGTACATTTTCTTTTCCTTTTTTTTTCTCAGGGTTTGAATTTTTCTATTGGTAATATACCTTTAGATCACAAAGCCAAAACCATTAAATTAAAAATTAAAAGATATGATATCATTTTGATTAATAATTGACGCGAACACTCGAGTCAATGTTCTCTTTTTTACGAGGGCTTCAACAAGCTTTTTTTCTCTTTTTTTTTTTTAAGAACTAAAGATTAGTTCAAAAGCTGTTATATCAATGTACCTTCAGTAAATGGTCATGAATGTCAGCTACTTCTTATCCTCGTAGACATAACCAGATAGGGTTTTCATAAAAGAATAAAAAATATATTTTGTCTCAATTAAGGGCATTGAGTATTTAGAACGTATGAAACACAAACATTCCATATATACAATAAAATAAAATCAAGATTATAATAAAAGAAAAGAAAAGAGAACTTAGAATAACAGAATAAATCAAACATGAGACAAAATTACATAAAAAATAAATAAAAACAAATTCATACTTATTTACAATATTTACAGCCAGCCGAGGGAGCTCCGAGTCGGGCCCTTTCCCCACGTGTAGAGGATAAGGCAAGACTCCAAGAGATCCCAGCGTTTCTCTCCCAGCCGCATCACTAGGATGGGAATGCAGTGGAGAGTAAGAGAGGGCACTAAAGCCCACATACGCTCATGACTTGAGTGGAGAAGCTGGCCATAGATATAGGGATGACTGGAACTAGATAAAAATTGTGCTAAGGGATTAAGATGATGGATTAGGTTCCGATGAAAATTTGAAAATCGGGATGGAATAACGTCAAGGACATAAGAGATGTTAAGGTCATGATGTAAGGTTTTGTTCGTAACATAATAAGGATCATTTACTAATATACGATGGACTATAGACGGGAAGCGTTTGATTTTCGAAAATTTAGTTGTATCCCACAGTTCAAGTCCGTAGATTCAGATGGGTTTCAGTATAGTCTTGTAAATTAATAGTTTGTTTTCAATTGAGAGGTTAGATTTTCTGTTTAGTCTGTATAACTGGCCAAATCGTCGGTTAAGTTCTTGTCTTTTAAGTAGGTAGGGTTTTAACGCTTGTTAATTTGAAAGAAGTCTGCTGTTAGTAGTTATTATAATGGATAGATATATAAGCATGTTTTAATTAATTTAAGAGAAAAATATTTAGGTTATTTATGTGGGATACCTCTGCTGTATTTCATGTGACCTTTTTCTGTACTCGTGAAACCTGAAATGGTGAACAGTTAATTGTTTACTGGTTTTTAAAGACTTAAAGATTTTTCTTACACAGTCCAAATGTTCCTAAGACATAAGATGATATATTTTGATGTACTAATGATATATTTAAAAGCTACCTCCTCTTGTGATGAACGTTGTACAACGAGTTATGCTGCGTTGTGGATTAAACAAAACGCCTCAGATGACAGCGATCCTTCCAGTCGTTCCAGCCGCAAGGTGCCGCAGAGCTGACCAGATGACCGACACTGACCCCCCTCGGCGACCGATAGCCATTAGAGCGGCCGTTGAATTGCCAGGTCGGGAATTAGCTGCGGATTAAATGACGGTGAGATAACTGGACCACAGCTGTCCACGGCCACCACAATAATGGGCAATAACTCAGGCCGATGTACCGCTCCATTAGTGGCCGCGGCTCCGTCCTGCCAACATGATGCTCATCCATCAGGCAGTGGCGGAGCACCTTAATTGTGCTCACTGGAAAGAAAACAGGAGGCGTCGGGTTGTGCAGCGTCGGAGGGGGGAGTCTTAATCGTCAGGGGGGACAAATTGGTAGCCACCAGCTTCTGGTTTGATTCTTCACAAACATTCACGTTCCCAAAATTGTAGAAATGATTTTTTTTTTATTGTTTCGTTGATGTCCACATTGTAATAGATTGTTATCTCTGTATTATAAAAAGTTTTAATGATTTATACAGAGTTTTAAAGGTTTGTGGGTTTTATGGGTTTTAAAGGATTATACATTGTTATCGCGCCTTATTATCAATTGATATTAATATATAATTATAATTATTGTTATCGCCAATTTGTAGCCATAATATATATCCAACTTGTCGAACTTCATATAAGCTCAAAAATAATTTAAGCCTTTTATTTCTAATATTTCCATTGTTCGTTATATTTGCTTCCTTTCCTATTTCATAATAATTATAATTATTATCAATATAAATATAAATATAATATAAATAATATTATACTTTTACTTAATCCAGTCCTCTGTTACCGCTGAGCAGTGTGAGGAAATAATATTATAAATAATATAATAATTAATGTATTGCATTCAAGGCGAAATGTAACAAATTTATATTCTAAAATCTTTATTTTGTATTAGGAGAGTATTAGGTAATAGGAGATCAACGCATATGTAATTATATTACTGTATAATTACTGCTAATTATAGAGCTAATAGGAGAGATCTTGTAATCTCCTACTATCCTAATACTAAAATAAAATAAAATATGACAAAAACTAAAACCTTTTATGAGAAGGAGTTGATCGGGGAGTGCGGTCAAATAAATACTAAATTACAGAATAGTATTATTTAAATTTTATTACGACGTTTCGACCCACCTTGCAGGTTTTCATCAGGGCTACAAAAAGATACAAAATATGAAAAAATATATATAAAAGTACATGGTGAAAATAAAGTAAATGAATTATAAGTAGATATTAAATAAGAAAAAGTTGTATGATAAAGAAATAATAAGATGATATCAGCGATATAGTGGGTGACATAGTAGTTGAAATATCATGTATTATATGTATATACATATATATATATATATATATATATAGAGAGAGAGAGAGAGAGAGAGAAGATGCAAAAAAAAATAGAAAATAAGTATGAATAAAAATAAAAAACAAAGGAGAATATAGCACTTTTAATTTACATGTTATATTCTCCTTTTTTTTTTTTTTTGTATTCATACTTATTTTCTATTTTTGTTTGTATCTTCTATATATATAATACTTGATATTTCAAATACTTTTTCACCAACTATATCTCTGATATCATCTTATTATTTCTTTATCAGACAACTTTTTGTTATTTAATATCGACTTATAATTCATTTATTTTATTTTCACCATGTACTTTTTATATATTTTTTCATATTTTGTATCTTTTGTAGCCCTGGCGAAGACCTGAAATGTTGGTCGAAACATCGGCATAAAAATTAAATAATTCTATTTCTATAATTTAGTATTTATTTGACAGCACCCCACGATCAACTCCCTCTCATAAAAGGTTTTAGTGTTTGTCATATTTTATTTTATTTTAGTATTAGGATAGTAGGAGATTACAAGATCTCTCCTATTAGCTCTATAATTAGCAGTAATTATACAGTAATTTAATTACATATGCGTTGGCTTCCTATTACCTAATACTCTCCTAATACAAAATAAAGGAAGCAAATATAACGAACAATAGAAATATTAGAAATAAAAGGCTTAAATTATTTTTGAGCCTATATGAAACTCAACAAGTTGAATATATATATTATGGTTACAAGTTGGCGATAACAATAATTATAATTATATATTAATATAAATTGATAATAAGGCGCGATAAAAATGTATAATATAGATTTTTAAATAAACTAAAAAATTGTCCGAAATGTGTGGTTTTGTTCAGTTTATTTTATGTTGATAAAAAATAATACAACAGTATTCTTCTAGTACTACTAAAAAAAAAATGTCTAACTCCGTTAGCAACTGCGCATAAAAAAAAAAAAATTGTTGTAACTAATCATTTTGTAACTGAATAGATTATCTTGATAATATTATATTGTATCCTTAGATGTTAGTTCGCACTCCCTGTCTCCCAAAATTCCCTTCATTGGAATTGAGGGAAACAAATTAATTTAAATAAATCATTAAAGCTGTAACTATAATCCATTTTCCTATTAGCTTACCTCCTTTAATCATTTCTTGTCTTAACCAGCCTAGTTTTAAATTTCGTAATGAGGTGCTAATTGCGAGATAAGTTATTAGTCCTATGCACCTACCTCCAACCTGGAGGACTGGTGTAAGAAATGGGCCTTATAACCTTATAAATATATACATTTATTTATTATTTTTTATTGGGTGATATAATATTCTGTCATACAGACAGTAATTATAGCGAGGTAAGACCACAATCACAATATATGACTAGAAGATACGAAATAAACAGAAGAAAAATAAATATTAAATAATAATCAAAAGTATATACAATAAATCAAAATAAAATAACTTAAAGATAAGTAAATAAAAAAAAAAAAAAACACAGACATATCTGTAAACCCATATACAAAAAATTAACAATCAGGCTAGGGAACTCGGAGGCAGGCTTGTCCTTTCGACTTTTGAGGGAAAAAGCATGACTCCAGGAGATCTCTATGCCACTCTCTCAAACGCTAACATATATAATATACTAAATCCAGCTTGATTGAGTACGCTTTAGCCAGATACATTCAAAACATGTACGAAACGCCCCATTCTTTGAATTTTCGTAAATAAAAAAATTGTAGATTACGGTAAGATGAAGTCATTCAGTAGTTCGGTAGGAGGATGTTCATAATTTGATAAAAAGGTGACGGTACCGCGGACTATAACTTTATATACAATACATTATCATTTTTATAACTTATTACATTAAAAGGTTGTTCTTACCCAAAAGGTTTTAGCCATTATTAACTTAGTATGCCTGATATGCTACAGAGTATTTCGCATTTCAGATATGTTATCAAAATTAAAACTTTCTCAGAGTTTTCCAACCTTTTCGGACCACTGTACGGCTCCATAACAATCAACTATGAAAGAAAAACACAAAAGTTTTTAGTTTTGCTGAAATTTCCGCGAAGAACGATTCTTATGGTTCTGAAAGCCCCGGAACCCTTCTCTTAAGAGTTCGGAAGATTTATGAGTGATTCGCAAGAGTTGTATAACTGTTAGGGAGCGAGTACAATACAGTCAGTATTGGGGAAGTGAGTGAGCTATGACAGAGAGTGAAAACACTATGATTTGTGGGGTCGATGCCCACTTTCACTACCCCAAGAACAAACCCATAAAGCAACGCTACTGACGGCCATATTGTTACGCTGTTTCTTGTATTTCAGGAAGGGTCACCATTACCGTATCCATTGTACGCAACAGTTTACTGCTGCCGTAAGTGTACTTATTGCGTACAAGTTACGGAACCTTAACACTGGACCGTAACCATTGTATAGTCTCCGGAGCTTCCTCGAACTACCAATAACAGACCTTCGATAGCTACTTCATTGTTTTCTTTAGTCACACAAAAAGAAACAACGGTTCACTTACGCAAACAAGTTTCAACAAAAAAAAATTCAGCGTTTAACAAAAGAAGCACTATAAAAAAGTGAAATGTTGAGCAGTTGTTTAGATTTGGATTACAGTAAAAATCCAAATGTCTAACTTGGTACGCCATTAGAAGGCAATTTTAGTGAAAAAACAAAACAATTTCTCTCCATCGCTATTAGACTACGATGAAGCCACAAGCAGGGTAACGCGCAAAGCCCCGCAGTGTTGCCAAGAAAAGGGTTTAGATTCATGTCGCAAGTTGCTTCATCAAAATTTTTGAGGGAGGGAATTTCAACGGGTTTATGAATTTTTTTTAATGAGGAAGTGTAATTGTATAAAACCTACGGTTATTTGAATTCAACTTTCGCTAGTATTGTTTTAAAGAAGAGCTAAGCAATAAAATATCTTGGGAGAGGATGGAAATTGACTTTGCGAGTAAGTGGGCACTCCTGAAGCTCGGATTTTTATAAAAAAAAAAATAACCAGTATAACATTCTTGTATATAATATTTTCTTTCCTCACCGTTTTCATATGCCAAAAAAAAAATCTATATTACAAGGTCTAAAAGTTTTCCTATGAGAATAAAATCTCTGAAAGAAGCCGTTTTCGGAAATTCAGTAATCCCTCAATATATACGAGCTTGATATTAACGAGTTTTATTTATCATCAAATACTAAAATGGGAAAAATTGCCGCATTTACAGATTGCATATTTGATGATTCGTAGTTTAAAAAACACAATTTCAGTGCATACTGAATATGCTCCAGTGCATATCGCTACTGTTAGTGCAAAAGGTCGTAGGTAAAAATTGAGTGTTTTACAAGAGAGCATAAAAGCTAATTGCTTTATAATTTTATGATTTATTTCCCTCTGCTTTTTTTCATAGTAGTAGACTACTTATATTAATTGCAGACTACATGTCAAAAATAGAATAAAAATTTACATACGAACTTTGCACTAACAGTAGTGATATATACTTAATAGGTATGTTTTCACTCCTAAAATAGATGGAACGAAAATTGAACCTTTTGTTTGTTCGGAGTAAACGAGACCAATACTTTTCTTCAGTCAGAACAAAACTAATGAAGCTGAAATATAAAAATATGATTGAAATTTACACAATTTTGATTTTTAAGGAGAAAATCTAGAAGCTTGAACAGAGTTAAGATTACTTTAAATTTACTTAAAATTACACGAAATCTAAGTAACGGCAGTCACGTTTGGAATCGACCAAACAATAAAGTATAAATTATTTTTTTGAATAAAACCTAAAATTTTATAACCCCATAACAATATTGTTAAAACCTAACTCCCATTGCATATGATCAGTGCCTTCCACATCTCACAGCCATTATATTGTTAATGATTATTTATATTAATTTTAA